TACGAAAATCCAATGGTGGTCAAAAGTTTCCATGAAAATGAAAAAAATGATTGCATTCTTGTTCAACAAAAACAAAAATTTAAGCATATCTATCCTTCAAAAAATAACATTTTATTCAAAATAACTTATCAACAGGCATATTTAAAGGCTGATTGCAATTAAAGTTGCATTATTTGAAAAATGAGAAGAAATATTTGCATTTAAGGCAACACGTACAAAAATTTAGTATCTTTTCCCTTAAATTCAGCCTATTTAATGAAAAACAACCAATCCTGATGTTCAAAAAGTACTGAAATTTTATGGCAGTTTATAATAAGTATTTAAATAAAGCAATAACTGCATTCTTTTTCAACAAAAACCAAACTTTGAGTATTTTAATTCTGATGAGATCTAAATTCGTAAATAAGACTTATATAAATGCTTTTGAAATAACTAATTCCAAATAAAATGGCATCATTTTTTATCAAAAGAAGAATACTTTGGTTAATTTGAACAATGCAAACACCATTTTAGTATATTTTCTTTGATAATCTTTTAATTTTATGAAAAAAACAACCAATCCAAAACTGTTAAAAGTACAAAAATCCAATGGCAGTCAATAATTTCCATTGAAAAGGCAGAAATGATTGCATTCTTGATCCAATAAAACAAAAGTTTGACATATGTATCCTTCAAAAAATCAAATCTTATACAGAATTACTTATCAAAAGACATTTTAAAGACTATTTGCAATTGATGTTGAATCATTATAAATATGAGATGAAATATTTGCATTAAATTGTGTATCATTTCCCTAATATTCAGTCTATTTTTTTCTGAAGAACAACCAATCCTGATGTAGAAAAAGTATTGAAATCTTTTGACAGTTTATAATTTGTATTAAAATAAAGCAATAACTGCATTCTTATTCTACAAAAACAAAATTTTTATTTTTTTTTATTTCTGATTAGCTTTTAATTCAAAGAAAACACTTATCTCGAGAACATTACAATACATAATTATAAATAAGATTACATTACTTTTTATCAAATGAAGAAATTAAAGTAATTCAAAACAATAGTTAAAACAACACTTTTAATCAAGACAAACAAAGCTCTGAGCTTCTTTAATGTTATACTATTTTTACTTTTATCATCTAGTGACATGAATTGCTAGATATAGTACATATTTTAAATGATTACATTTTATCGCTTATGAGTGGTACATAAGCATATCGTTAGTCTGCACTTATTTAATTTTTTAGCTAAAATTTAAATTAAAGAATATGAAGATATACACATGATGTGTGAAAAGTAATTCATATTTATTTTTTTTTTTTGTTATTGCAATTAAGTTTATTACAACTAAACGAGTAAAGGTGTCTTCGTGGAGGTCAGTGTTCATCGAATGTAAACACTGTGGAGTTCGGTTTACATAAGAATTTTAAACATATACGTATCCGTCAGATCCGTGCATAAGATAAATCTACTGATCGATCGCTGACCGTTGTAACGGTAACTCTCACATAGCTTATTTGGCTTATCTGACGAATTCTATAGGTCACCGAGCAACGACTACTCATGGATCAGTCAAACATTCACGACAAACAGTAACATCCAAGGTTGCAAGTAATGTACAACAGACCATTTTTTTACAAAAAAAATAAGTTATTATTTGTCACGGTTATTAAATTTCGACATATGAAGGGAATTTCGGTTATTTCTAAAGATTAATTGTCAAATTGTATACAACAGACCGATATGAGACAAAATAAGAAGTAAGGGTGAGAGCAAGTTAGGGAAATTGTGTCACTCCTAACTTATCATTCATGTAAAGAGAGAAAAAAGTTTCTAGTGCGGTGTTGTAGTCCACTTGTATTTTTGTTCATCTGATGATTTATGCCTATTTTAACTGATTTGTATAGGTTTTTCATATGTTGTACTTTAAAACCACTGTCCCAGGTTCGGGGGAGGAATGGGATCCTGCTAACATGTTTAACCCCACCCCATTATGTATGTAAGTGCCTGTCCTAAGTCAAGAGCCTGTAATTCAGTGGTTGTCGTTTGTTGCTGTGTTACATATTTGATTTTCGTATACTTTTTGTACATATATAAGACCGTTAGTTTTCACGTTTGAATTGTTTTACATTGTCATTTCGGGGTCTTGTATAGCGTACTACGCGGTATCGGTTTTGCTCATTGTCGAAAGCCGTACGGTGACCTATAGTTGTTAATTACTGTTTCATTTTGGTCTGCAGTGGAGAGTTGTCTCATTAATAATCATACCACATCTTCTTTTTTTATTTACGAGAAGTGTTTTTATAAATATGAGTGTGATAATTGACCACGCTATGATATTGATATGTAAATGTATACTGAAGTATTGGTTTCAGAAATGATAAAAGTTTAACATTAACTATGATATAATGTTTTCGTAAATTAAACTTCAAGGATTAACCTTTAGTTTTCATAAGATTTACTATGTGTGCTTAATCAAATCAATGGACAAAGGCGTCGTTTTAAACAATTCTTAGAATGATTCTGATATAAAGGAGTAAATGCTTACCTTTCATGAAAATTTCTCCACAATGGTATTATAATTCAATCACAAGAAAAACACTTATCCGACGATCAACTAACCTTTAACAGAAGCGTTCTGTTAACTGCACATGCGCATACATAATTTGAATGTCAACAGCAACCTTTACCTAACATTCATTATAACCTTAACTTTTGGATTTTATCTTAACCTTTTAATAAAACCATCACCTTAACCTTAAATTTTAACCTTTAAACTTGAACAAGACTCGCTATCTGTATGCATTCACAAATTGTGTCATTAACAAATCCTGAAGTACATAATACTTACCTTTAACCGCCAAGGAAACTGGTCATATTCTCCTTGAAAATATGTGAATGTTACTTCTTCACCTTCGCTGATTGTTCTTGTAGCAAAGAAACAAAGATGGGGAAGACCACCGACAATTATTCTCTTAACAATAGAGTTACTATCATTCTCGTCATCGTTTACGAGCCTTCCCAAGGATTTGTCGTCATTAGATGCATCGATCCTAGATGGAAAGAACAACTTACTGTTAAACTGTAGCTTACTGATGGGAAGGTATCAAATTATTTAAGGTAAGGATTCTAGTGAATGGTAAAAGCTATAGGATTTAAGGTTATGGTCTAATGATAAGGTTAAAGATTAATGTTACAAGTAACTGGAAAGGTTAAAGATTAAGGTTAAAATTAACTGTTAAGGTTACAGATTAAGGTTAGAAGTAAATGTGAGGGTTAACGTCAATAGTAAATGTTAAGATTAAAGGTAAAAGTTCAGTTTGAAGTTTGCTGTAAGTTAAAGGTAAACAAAAAAGTTATTGATCAGTGATAATTAACAGTCGGTGAAAGGTTTGAGGTAATTTTCGATATATTAATATACATCAATGTGGGAATCAGGCCAGAACTGGTTTTATTTCTGGTATCCTTGATTTTGATAAATGATGAGTTATAAATCAACTTAAAGAAATATATCTAAATAGCGTGATATTAATATAAAAGATCTGGAGCAATTTTACTAAAAAGGATCATTTATAAAGTCGACTCTATACGGAAAAAGAAATTGTGTGATAGAAAGGGGCAGATAATTGCAATTGAAATATCGAAGATTTTTGCAATTGCATGATTACCAAAATTCAAAAAAATGAATAATCAATAAAAAAAAACAACGTATTGAATTCCTTAAGGTGGTATGGGAGTCTAAAATGAAAGGATAAAATTCGCTCACTTTGCCAAAACCTATTGTATATTAATATCTGTTCCAAACTATACTAAAAACGATAGGTCACCGTGCAATTTATCAAGCTACAGGTTGTGGCACATTGTGTATGGCGTATACGGGTAATAACATCAGTATGCAATTAGAAGCTACACTACTTGATAGAATTGTAAAATAAAACACAAAAAGATAGCATCAAGACAATGATTTGAGAATATCAAAAGAAGGGATAAAGTCACCGTACGTTTTTTTTCGGCTAAAATACGAAATAGGAAAATTCCATGTAGATTCCTTCAGAAAAGTGCACTTTTTCCAGAGTTACCTTCCATTCAAATGGCATTTGTTAAACCAAAATTAATCTACACTTGCAAAAGTGTTAATACTTATAATCATTATCTTATAAACGGTTTTATTTTCAAATAACAGTTCACATTTAGTTATCCGCATTTTTGCATCAAATTTTGTTAACTTAATTAATAGAAACTAGACATTAGGTTCACTGATTTTTTACAATCCAAGATGGCGAAATACGCCCATACCACCTGTATGTCATTTACGTGTTCTAACCGCTACTATATGGTTTTGAAGAACATTTTTCATCTAGCATAAAAAGTTTTAAACTTACCAACATTTTCTTGAATTCCAAATAAACTCGAATGCGTACTCGTTGAAGCCTGGATCAACTGTTGTTAAATTTCCGCGATATTCGAACATAAACTCGCCTTTTTCAAACTGTTTTGTCGTAAACACACCTCTTCCTTTTATAAAGTTAAACGACAAATATACACATCAAACAGCTCAAAACATTTTAAACTACATAACGATGATTGATTGATTAAGTAAAATATAATATTAATAAATATGTTGTTAGTAAACTATATTTTTTTCGAAAAAGAAACCATTTTAGAAAATATTTTCATCACAAATACTTAAATACTAATACTAGTGAACATGTATAATTTGAAATTTATTGTTTTCAAAATTTTTAACAAAGTATGAAGAAAAAAATATTCACCGCATGTTTATGAATTTAATGCATATTAAAATAAAAAAATAACCTTTTTTTAAAGACCAAATTGAGAAAACAAAACTTGAAATACAATGCATGCTTGTAAAAGGTACCGCAAATAAAGATAGATTGAAGATACAAAAATCATTCGTAAGTAAACTTTTCTAAAACACCTATCCAGGTATTACAATGAAACAACATATTAACACACTGAAAAAACAGAATAACTTGTACTTACCTTTTATGTCGTCAATCTTTCTTACCAAAAACCCTTCTCGATCTGATTTACTATTTATGTAATCTTCAATTTTTAATATTCTTCTATTTGATCTTCGCAAATCTACAAATTTCAGAATTATTCCAATAATGCACTCATTCAAGTTGTTTAAATAAGACATTTTAGATAGTCGTCACGGTGCTTGGACTCTTAACATATATTATTATATTATTACGCCTGTTATTTAAGTTTGATACATTCATTGCCAAGGTGTATACATCGTGTACATAATACTTGTATCTTAATTTCAAAAATTGACACTCTGAGTTTCACATTTCTGATAAAAGAAGGACGAAAGATACCAAAGGGTATCAACTAAAAACAAACTGACAACGCCATGTCTAAAATAAATAGACGAATACACAAAAATATAGTACAGAATTAAGCGTTGATAAGCGTTGTACAGAATTCTTTAAAAAGAATGATAACTACATTCAATTCAGGTAATGTAGAACACCACAGAGACCAGACAATCTATCTATGCTCAAGCGAAAAGTCGGCTAATTCGGAGTTAGTTAAATAATAATATCTTTCGTTGGCACAGATAACGTGCCCTATTTATCCGGAATGTCGACTGAAAAGTGTTTAAAACAAAACATTTTCATACAAAATTTGGTCTCAATTTGTGAATAAAAATACCAAATGCCTGCGTCTACTAATTTGATATCCATTAGTAAGACATACGAATGTTACTTACCTGGTTTAACTAATTTATAATCCATAACACAAAATATATAGAAGTGTTCTTTCTACTAATAACTTCCTAAAATTCGACAGTTTGCACACGCACCCTTACCAGGTGTACATGCGCAAAGATGAAAGTTTGATTTCAAGCTTAATCTTGTCTTAAACTTAACTGTAACCATAATGTTTACCTTTGACCTTATTCACAACCCTAACCCTTTACCGTACAAAAATTGTCCTTCAATCAACCTTAAAATTAAACTACTATGATATACCCTAAAATTGACATTAACCTTAACCTTTTCCTTACCTTTAACCTTAACCTTAACCTAAACATAAACCTTCACTTTCTCTAACCTTGAATTAACATTAATAGATATAAGAAGATGTGGTATGTGGTTAACATTAAGGCTACCTCAACTATGAACATTAAGGTTAAAACATACCTTCACTTTAACCTTTACCTTAAGCTTAACATTACCATTATTGTTAAAAAAGAGAGACGAACGATATCAGAGGGACAGCCAAACTAATAGATCGAAATTGAATTGAAAACGATATGGCAAAATAAGAAAAACACCAACAGACCAATAATAGTTCACATAAGGGTACTTCCACCTTTAATCTGAATTTATAACTATTAATGAATCCTCAATAAATCATGAGGTTAAAACATACCTTAACCTTTACTTAAACAATAAACTTAACTGAAACTTTGACATTTTGTAACCTTCAATTAACTTAAAGGCTTCCTCAATCTTAAAACTCAATTTCAATCGTTAATCTAAATTTTCAACTACCAATCATCCTTCAGCGGGGTTCGGACAAACCTTCAATTTAACCTTAAACTAAATTTTAACTTCAACTATAATCTTAACTTTTACATTAACCTTAACCTTAACCTTAACCTACACCTTAACCTTATCTATCATTGAATTAACCTCAAGGCTACCGCAACCTTTCATCTGAATTTTCAACTACCAATTAACCATCTATGAACATTTAGGTTAAAAATCACCTTCAATCTTATCTTAACCTTAACCGGAACTTAATTTTTTAACCTTGAATTTACCTGTACCTTAAATATGAATTGTCAACAAACCAACTAACCATCAATCAACGTTAAGGTTAAACAATAACTTAATATCTTAACCTGAACAGTAACCTTATCTTAAAATTACCCCTTGCAAATGAAATTCCAAAGGCCATGACTAGTATTCCCAAAGTACTTGACCAGTGATAAGCCAGAAAAAAACGATAAACCAACTTCAATAGCCAGAAAATCACCCTATGGCAAATTACCCAAAAGAGTTTGATATTCTGTGAGCATCACGCAGGGATGCCAAAAATGTATGCTATTGCTTATTATAAAGCTAAGGTACCCGGTTACCTTCCTACATCCATTATTTGGACGATCGTAAGGCAAAACACTATTTTTTCGACTGCTACCCTTATATCTAGGTGCAAAACGCTAGTATTTTACATATTGACCCAGGACCTTTTAACCCTATAGACTAAGTTTATTTTGTTATAGGTTCAAACAAGGTGTAAATATCATGGCAAAGGTCGTTCTAGCTAGTAAAACCAGTTTTAGAAGTCCTGGTCTCGTGTTAAGACAGAAAATTACGATGAAACAATACCAAAGCCAAGAAAATTATTATATAAGCAACAACCAATAAGGGTTTATATCATTCCTCGAGCACCCCGCGGACATGGCATATCAGTATATCAAATATCTTTACAACGCCAACGGTCCAAATTGCCTGCCTGAATCCTAGTAACCATAAGTTTTACAATCGTAAAGCAAGACATCATTTCATTTCTACACCAAGAACTAAATCGAGTACCCAGCCGCAAACAATGACAATACCGACCCCGAATTTTTTCACTATATATACCACGTCGGCCATTTTATATGGGTATATAATAGCTCATACGAACGCTGATAAGGTTCATGTTGCCTACATACTTCCTTAGTTGTCAATACTTGTACGAGCATAAGACAAAAAAGCTATTAATTCGACCCATGTTTGGATGTCTGCTATCCAACCGCAAATATTGTCATAACCGATGCCGGATCTATACCATACAGATCAAGCCGAGCCTATTTTAAATAAAACAAGGTGCAAATACAATCCCTCAGACCTTGGCTAACTATATAAAGTTTTTTTTACAAAAGATTCAACTACCATCACAAGGCAGGAAAACACGATGAAGTAACCCCAAAGTCCAGAAAATCATCCTGTAAGCATATACAGGGAATAATACACCCATTTCACCCCTTAGGCATGTAATATAAGTATATCAGAGTTCATTACAAGCCCAAGTTTCCCGGCTACCTGTCTTTGTCATTAGTTATTGTTAGTTGTACAATGGTATGACAAAAAAACAAATCTATATTTCACCCCTTCCCCTTAATCGGGCAGCCAACCGCTAGTATTTACCATACTGACCTTGGATATTTTCACTACAGACTTAACGGAGTGTGTTATAGTTCTAAAAGATGTGTCACTATCATTGCACCGGTGTCGGCTGAATACTGATAGTATAGTCTGAAGCATCCCGGCCTTTTCCTAAGAAAGGAAATACAAATATCATATCCAAAAGGCAAGACAATCACTTTGTGGCCAGTTACCCATTACAGGTATAATATTTACCAATCACCACTTAGGCAAACCAATGAGGCATTTCATAGATAAGGAAATCTGATAATTGGATGTGTCGTCTGTTTACGTTAATATATCGATGATAAGGAAACAAACTACTTAATTCGACCACTACTCCACTATCGGATCACCAACCGCTTATATTGACCATATCAGCATGAATCTTTTCATCGTAAAAACCTAGCAGGACATGCTATAGGGGTATATTATGGCTCATACAACGCTTAGGGTCCCTGCTACATGCCTGTTACCTTAGTTATCGTTTGTTGTACAATGACAAGGCAAACTTTTTTTTTTATTCTTACCCTACCAGTCTATCTAAAGAAGAATAAAATGAAAATGAGTTGGTTTCTTGTTTCTGTTGCAAAACATAGCTAAACAAATACACGTTTGCGAAGACGTGTTACTTTAGTAAATATACCTTAAAGATGAGCACTAGTTGCAATGTTAACAACACGTGTTTTTTTTGGGGTCTAAATGTGTAGGAAAATATTTTTTGGACGAACGAAATCAACTTTTTTCGAGGAGTGAAACTCAATAACCGGATGTCAATATCCCTGCAAATATTGGTGATATGATCTTCTATGACCTTTCCTGCTTTACAAATTTTCACATTGCAGCCATCGCAACGTTAACACCGATATTCAGTCCGCAACCCCGTGTGTGGTATGAAGGATTAGAGATCACTATTTTGAAAGGGATGATGGGCTCATAATTACGCATAATATAACTACTAGCATTCTATACAATAAAAACATTAGGCGATGATCATAAGTAGGATCGAGATGACAATATCCAATCTTTCCTTTTGATGGCATCATAGGATCACACTAGATTTTGCGTCTCACAGGGTTTTCACGAATTCCTGACTGTGTGCATGTATGTATATATGTTTGTATGTTTGTATGTTTGTTTGTTTGTATGTTTTTATGTTTATGTGTTTACATTTATTTGTATGTGTGCATTTTATATGCATGTATGTATGTTTATCATATACTTATAAAAAATAATGGTATAAGTGTTCCCCATGATAACACTAATTTGTTCATATATTTATTCATCAAATTTGAAGAATTGCCTTACCCGTGTGATATGACTTTTGTTATCAACTGCCTACTGCTTATATAAACTGCTTCCGTTTTAAATCAGCTGCTTCCGCTTATAATCGCATGCGTTGCTGTAACGTATCGCATGACAATTTGACGTCATTCGGCAAATTCCGGTAAATATACCTCCATGGTACATTTTTGTGTGTAAAACATAACAAAGTTGAACAAAAAGAAAATATTAGGTATCAGGAAAGTATATTATTAAAAAATGCAAACGTATATTACAACAAAAGCATTTTAAGAATAGTCTTTGTCTGTATGTCTCTTGTTGACGTATATGATAAAAAGAACAACATGTCATTTTTCATATCAGACTCCCTATCAGTCCATCCGGGTCTCAGGCTGATATCATGACCTAAGGCTGATAAGAGGTCTGATATGAAAAATGCCGAGTTATAATCAATATCTATATGCATATATGTTAGTATGTGTGCAGTTCCAAAAACTATTTTACGTCGTTCAATGTCATGCAGCTAACAAATCTGGTTTCACTCTGGTTTTCACAAACACATGAACACATCAATAAAAAAAGTAAAAATTTCGATCCAATGTTCATACCTGACTCAGATCGTTTAAAGCATATATACACTTCATATTAAC